GGGATAATCCCGTACCACTCCACTTTGCTAATCTAAACTTAAAATACTTATAACTCATAAACTACTCGTTCTAAATTCGATTTTTATGAATCAAAATACTTAGAAAAATGTTCTGCTTTGGAATATAAAATTAAAACTCTATGTTGTAATTCAAAAAATTAAAAACTTAAAAAACGATAAGGATAAAAAATATTTAAAAATATAATTTTTTAATAAAAACGTTTGTTTTTTAACAACTTGAAACTTTGTAAAAAAATATTTTGAAAAAAGTCAATACTTTTTTAAATAATGAGTGTTCTTCGATAAAAAAATCACCCTGTATATAAGTATTAACGTATGTTCGTTAAATTGTCAAGGTATTAAAATATTATGTTAAAATCTCAATAAGAAAAAAAAACATTCATCGGAGTATAATATTCAAACTGTAATAGTATCTATATAAATAAAAATCTAATGCTGTTTGTAAGTCTCACTAAAACTCGAGAACGGCTGGACCAATTTAGCTCATTTTGGTCTTAAATTATTTGTGGAAGTCCAGAGAAGATTTAAAAGGTGAGTGCGTATGAAAATGTTCGGAATTAATTTTTTAATATTAAATTTAAATTTACATGCTTATTTACTTTATTTCCGAAACTACTCAACACACTGGGATTTGCGAGATACGGGTGCCATGACGATACACGATTATGACCCATTATGTTAATCTGTTATGAATATTATCTAAATCTATACCTATATATTGTTATATATCCGATATAAGAATAATCGCACTAAGCACACGCTTACTCAGTATGGCACTCTCCRCTGTCGTGTTTTGTTCCCTCCGTGTACGTGTGCATGAACTTTTCACACTTTCATTCGAGAAGAAAACAACCTGACTCAGGTCGTCGCAGTCAATCAAATGTGCGAAGAGCTACCTCACGTGCTAACCGCACTGATGACCAAACAGATCAAGAAAATAKTCATAAAGAACAGTTAATGGATATCTGTGTGTGACTTACCGTGAGGCATGTCAACTATTACATTTACTCGAGAACGATTCGAACTGGGATGATACGCTCAAGGATTCCGTAATATTTTCATCACCACATCAAATTCGTACATTGTTTTCGATTATCTTATCGACATGTTTCCCCTCAAATGCAAAAAATGTGTGGGTTAAGTATAGAAATGACATGTCTGCAGATGTTTTACATCGTGTGCGCCGTCAAACTTTGAATCCTACACTACAGAGGACTGAAGAAATGTACAATGAGACATTGATCATGATAGAAGATATGTGTTTATTGATGGCAAATAAAGTATTGTTATGTTTGGGAATGACGGCACCCAATCGTCATATGCACGATGCATTAAACCACGAGTTGCAAAGAGAACAACAGTACGACACTGAAGCATTGGCTGAAACTGTTCGTACAAATGTTCCATAATTAAATCAACAACAATGAATTGCGTACGACACTTTGATAGAAGCTGTGAACAGTGAATCTGGTGGAATTTATTTTATTGTTGCTTCCGGAGGAACAGGAAAAACGTTCTTAATTTCATTGCTTTTGGCGAGGATCAGATCGCAAAGTAATGTAGCTCTAGCGTTGGCTTCATTTGGAATAGCTGCGACTCTACTAGAAGGCGGGCGAACTGCACATTCTGCCTTGAAATTACCATTAAACATGCAAAGACACTCCAATTAACAACTAACATGCGAGTATTTTTGCAACAAGATGAAACTGCAAATGTGTTTTCGAAACAGTTGTTAGACATTGTAAATAAAAAAGTCGCAGTGGACACCTCGACCGGATTAATCACATTACCCACAGATTTCTGCCACATCACAGACTCCAAAGAAGAGCTTATTCAACATGTTTTCCCAGTTATAGCACAACAGTTCAATAACCATAATTGGCTGGGTGAACGAGCAATATTGGCGGCAAACAATAAAAATGTCRATGCTCTCAATGCAATCATTCAGAATTTTTTACCGGGACAGTTGGTACCTACAAATAATTCGACACCATTATGAACCAGGATGACGTAGTCAACTATCCCACAGAGTTTTTAAATTCGCTGGAGTTGCCTGGATTACCACCACACAATTTGCAGTTAAAATTAGGATCAGTTGTCATCATGCTGCGTAACATTAATCAACCTCGACTGTGCTATGAAACAAGACTGGCTGTGAAAAAGCTAATGAATAACGCCATTGAGGCAACAATCATAAAGGGAAAATACAAAGGAGAAGATGTCTTGATCCCGCGTATTCCGATGACTCCAACAGATTTACCATTCGATTTTAAACGTCTACAATTTCCCGTAAGTCTGGCCTTTACGATGACCATAAATAAATCGCAAGGCCAGTCGTTGAAAATTTGCGGAATCAACTTAGAGTTTCCCTGTTTTTTGCATGGACAATTATACGTCRCGTGTTCGTGCGTCGGAAAACCGTCATCTTTGTTTATTTACGCACCACAAAAAAAAAACRAAAAATATAGTTTATCAGAAAGCTTTAAATTGATTAACAGGCTGTATCATAACTGTGTGTGCCTATTAATATCAATTGAAACCTTATAAGTTGCCAGTATCTCATTGTTGTGACGTGACTATTTTTAAGCAAAATCAAGTGTAATAAATAAAACCTCATTCATACCGAGCATTTTTTTTTTTAAATTACGGATTCCTTTTGTTTGTTTTAAGTTTTTTTATATAAAAGTTTAGCTTTTTTATTTATCGAATGAGGCAATACGAAGTCGAAAAAAATCCCGGGTTTCACCTGAGGTGACTTTAGCCCGGGCAACGCTGGGTGGGACAGCTAGTTTACAATAARCATATTTGCACAATATATTATACAAATAGCTGATGATATGAGGAGAGAAGTCACCCAGTAATAGCAACACTTAGATAYAATCGACTATATAATAGACTAAATTACATACAATACATATTACATAATAACAATGATAAATTATTTAATAATATAATAGGTAGGTAACCATTAATCATACCCTTGTCCTTGTGGTCAGTGTAAATATGTATAAATACGCCGTGTAATTACATTAGAAACCCGATACCAATTTTAGGAGGATATTAAGYTTATTGAAATAAATTTCTACCCCACATGATAAGTTATGAATTAAAATCAAATACTTATGAACAAAATTGCAATGATCTAGGATCTGAAGGGTTCTTTTGTGATTTTTAACAATGGTTGSTTGTTTTTAATTTTGGACATACTTTTGATGTAAATACATTAGACAAATATTTACGTATATCCTAATGATATTGGTTTTACATCAGATTTTAAGTATTTGTTTAATCTGTCTCCAATTTTCTCTGCGATAAGTGAAAAATCATAAAATTAATCATTGTAGATAAGTATACGTATTTGTATAATGTATTTGAACTGAAGCAAAACGAAAAATGATAGAAACGTATATTAYTAATTAATAATAATTTCAACCTGACGGGTTATGTCAGACAATGCACTAAGTGACTAAGTAATTTATAAAATAATATAATATAATCTATGCTTATATGAAAAATACGCAAATCAAGAGATGTTCGAGTCTAAAATGACAAAATATAATTACTAAATAAAATTGTCATTTATTACAGTTRTTATTGTATTCCCGCGGCAATATTCCTTCGGTACTTCCGAGAAATTTCTGGGAGAGCCAACCCAAATTAACCCTAATTAAACTAATAAACTCATTAAGGTCATTGAAACATAAAACATAAATTTTAAAATCATTAAGTTATTTCATACATAGGTGCCTTTAAATTATTAAGTGTATAGTATATAAAAGTACTTCGCTGTATACATATATTTTTTCCAGTTCAAAAACCTAGAACGGGTTGGGAACTGTTTATCACAATACTGAAAATACTGCCACAAACTTCACTATATTACACTTATCACGGTGACCTAATACTGAGTAATTGATACACTCGAAACCTACTATACAGCACAGCTAGGTTTCCTGGGTTTTTTCGTACAAATAGTATGTAGTTAAGGATTTTAATAGAAATGTATAGTGTTTTGTGTGTATTGAACAATTTCAATACAGAATCATTCAATCATGTATAAATGTATAATAATTATGAATATTAAGTAAAAATTGCTCTTTAACACCATAACGAAAAATATTTTATGGATCATTTATTAATTTAATATCAGAAAATAAACACGGCATTGAAAATATTATTATGATGTAGGTACTTCAATTATATAGATAATAGTTGCAATTTTGTATGACATTTAATTTTAATATGTCATTCAAGAAAAGCTAGAACATTTTTTTATAGCTTCAAGTTTGTATGATTACGATGCAGCAATAACGATATTATGAGATGAGATCCGTATTAAAATTAACTATGGTATTCAAAAGTACTTAATTATAATAAATCTAATATTTAATTTTCAAAATAATTTAAATACTAATTCTTATTTATTAGGGAAAAACATTTATTTAAACATTTATAATATATTCTTACTGAATGGTCCTAAAAAGGACTAGATTAGCAATACATTTAAATTAATAGTCTAAAACTGAAGTATAAACAGCAGTAAGTTGGATTTTAATTTCTTAAAATACAAGATTGACATATTTTGATCAGTATTGATCATAGAACATAATAATTGTTCATCAAATATTTTATACGTATTTTTATTTATTCTATCRATATTACAACACAAAATATGTTTTTAATTTTTTGACAATATCAATAAAGTAGGCAGGTATTACACATATATATTAAAAACAGATGCTACAAAAAAGTGTTACTTTGAAAATTATATTCTACTTCCAAAAGCAAAGAATATTAAAAAATAATTGATAAAATTGTTGAAATAAACGTTAATGACACGTCTTTATTATACGATAAAAAACATGTGTATATTTTAATATGTAATAATTTATGTAAGTACACACGAGCTTTATAATCCTATAAATTAATAATATATATATATATATATACGTTTAACAAGAATATAATATGTTACTCACCACTTATTCCATTCATATCTTTATTGATAACTGTATTAAAAATGTTGTTTCGTATTTCTTTATTAGAAAAATCTTTATGATCTGGATTGTAGATTTCTGGATGTTTGCTGACTTCATTTATTAATTTCGCTACATCTATCTTCATGATTATTTTTTTTTTTCAAAACTTAAACGATTGGAATAAAAAAAAATGAAAAATTGAATAGTAGTTGTTACGTAATGTTGTTTTTCGAAAGTTAAACGCAGGCTTAGTGTTCACAGAGGTCCGCTGATCAACGTGTCTGGGAGTACACTGAGCGCCGAAAATGTGCGAACTTCAGATGAGGTACCTACCTACTATAATGTAAACGTTTGGATTTGACGTACGCAGCTACGCATTTTATTGATTATTTTTGTTCTATCTAACGGTAATTTGATGAACTGTTAGAGCAACAAGCTCGTTCAAGAAACTATCCATGAATCATTAATTATAAACAATAAAATATATATATTATAATATTATTGAGGATTATTATTATTATTATTATTATTAATTAGGTACT